TTGGCTACACAATCGAGTTATGCGCGGTTAGGGACTTCGGATTAATTTAAATTTGAGAAAAAGCTTCCTCAATGTCAATGAATGACGCGACTCGTTCATTCTCAACAGCGAGTGAAACATGCTAAAAATGTTCCACTTCTAGGCGAATGATGCGGCCGGGCATCTGCTTTATTTACGAAAGTAAACAGCGTGGCGAAAGACAGTATGCTACAGTAACTGCGATCACGTCAGTGACGCCCCATTCATGTCCATCAACAAAGAAGGCGGGGCTTATTCTGATTACGAGATGCAAAATGCAACAGGAGCGACGACTAGCGCAGTGCGCTAAAACAGCGTTCCAACACTAGCAGACATGCCCCTCAGTTCCTGAATCGGCGTATTTCGATGTCCACACTGGTTCCCCATCCTTTCAAAAATATCAAAGTCTGGTGCAGCGTATGCTGTGATCTGCGCAAGACACAAGTGCAATCCTCGGCAGCGCCTTCGGCAGATCATGGCCCGCATCACAGTCCAGCGTAATAAAAATCAAGTCTTGCTGTAAATGTATGTCATACGTGTTTTTTACTTCTGAACAATGATTTCAGGAGAATGGATACGAAAGTTTCGTATGCAAAATAATGGCGCATGACTCGGACTGAATGTGGAATCTGTCACCAACAACGTATACCAGTTATAAGCCAATAACTTGCATCATTATGGGTTCCGAAATTAAGCAGCAAGCAGAAGTTTTGCCTGCCTACAAAGAACAGGTTTGCTTGCCTGCTACAATTCGCCATGGAAATCCTTGCGCTGCCGAAGATTCCTTTAATACTTGAGTGATCGATGACTAATAAACAAGAAGCCCGCAGAAGCGTCTAGGCCCTCATCTAAGGTCTGTTGCTACGGGTATAAACGTAACATTTTCCAGTCGTGGCGAGTACACCTGTTGTTATGGGGCAGATTGCAGTACGCAGCTCTCGATCTTTTCAGCAAACATTTTTTTTATCTGCAGAGAGAGAGCGCGACGAGACGAGGGACAGAGAGAAAGGGGCGAGAGAGAAAGAAAGAGAGAGAGAGAGAGAGAGAGAAAGAGCGTGAGGAGCAGGAGGAGAGAGTCAGTGCAGACTAAATTGTTTATCAAAACAAAGTAACACCATGCGGCGCGCATACTCGCTATCAGTTACGTCATCAATTGAAAATTACAGTGTCCGTATTTCGCCGTGCCGCACGTCAAAACTTTCGCACGAAGATGCGCAGGCACGAGGTAAGCAGACGCCTGCTATAACCGTACACGATTTCTAATGTCGGGGAGGATCAACACATTTCGACGACAGTAAACCATCGGGCTCTGCCAGCGTCACAAGCCAGCATGCTCCACCATATCCGACATTGCACACACTTGTAACGTCGACGCGAGAGAGCCATGCCAAGGACAGTACAACCTGGCCTCAATTGGTAGTATGCATGGCCAACCTTTCCACTATGCGTAGGTCTGCACGCATTCAATTCTGCAATTACTTTAAGCTCAAGCATTGATTAATCTGAAGTGAAGAAAGTACATTCTTTCTGCACTTTTAGACGCAATATACATTGAGCCTATCCTGCCGGACATTCTTCTCACTCTGTTCGATAGATGGCGCTGCTACTTCATCGTATTACGTTAGACTTGGTACGCGCTCCCATACCTCTCGCCCTTAGTTACATTGATAGGGCCGAATAATCGAGCGTGGCGAGCGAGTACCAGTCTGCCAACGTTTAGCCCATCTGGATACTATCAGCCATGCTACTCAGCCCCCACGCTGCGAGTAGTACTATTTATAGTCGCTTAATAAACAAGAGCCGCAGAGCGTCTGGCGTCCATCTGAGGTCTGTTGCCTGACGAATTATAACGTAAAAATTTTCAGTCCGTGCGCTAGTACCAACATTTGTAGGCGCAGATATGCAGAACACGCAGCTGGTACACATCATTGTTAAGGACACGCACCACTATCGCAGATGGAGGGTAGGGGAGGCGTGGGAGGGGTGGGGGAGGGGCGGGGGAGCGGGTGGGAATGGGGAGGATGGGGTAGGGGGCTCATAATCAGCAAAGCAGTCTCACTCCTTTGTTAACAGTAACAATCCAGTTTAACCCTCCTGAGGGTCAAAAAGGTTATCCAACACTGACTCTTCGCATGTCAGCAGAAGGGACATTTCATGGTCCTTTCCATAAAGCCATAAAAATGGGGTCACCCTTGAAACAAAAAAGTTTTTCAATCGCTCCGTCAGACCATGTCCTCAGAAACTGCTCTAAAATCTCCTGTGCCCATTGACGTGACTCAAATCTTCAGGCACAATGATGGCTTTCCGACCATGATGCATACACCGACTATCACGAGCCTAGGTCGAGCCGTTAGATTTGTGCCGCATTCTGCATTTCCTCCCTATACCTTAAGATGAAGGAGCCTGAATGTTCCTTCTTTTACACCTGCTTGACCTGTTGACTTTGACTCCCAGCCTTCGGACAGCCAACTCGTTTGACGATACCCCCCAAATTGCGAGATATGCGTGACGTACGCGAGCGGTTCAAGATTCTGTGTTGTCCCAAACTGTATTACGGACGATCCGGACGGACGGACGGTGGTGGGAGTCGGGACGGAACGCGAATTTCAAGCGATTCTACAAGCTGCATCTGACTATGTCAGATGAGCTAAAAACAGACGTTTGCGTAAGTGCTATTGACATTGTATTTGTATTCCCAAGTTCCAACGTACAGAATCTCATATAGAGAATGAAGTTCATATATGATTTAAGGCGCGTAAACGTTGTTCAAGTAAGTTTTGCATGCAGAATTTCACTGTGAAATTTAAGTCTTCCACGATCACACAAGTACCATCAAACACAGTTCAGTCCTTTGTTAACAGCCAACAAATCCATGTTTAACCCTCCTCTTGGGGGTCAAAAGGTTATCAGACACTTACTCTTCGCACGTCAGTGGAAAGCACATTTCATGGTCCTTTCAATAAAGCCATAAAAATGGTAGGTCACCGCTGACACAAAAAAGTTTTCCAATGCTATATCACGAGCCTAGGTCGAGCCGTTTAGATTTGTGCCGCAATTCTGCATTTCCTCCCTATACCTTAAGTTAAGGAGGGAATGTTCCCCCTTTTTTTACACCTCTTGACCTTTGACCCTCACCTTCGACATCCCAACTCGTTTTCGGATTACAATTAGGACACATAACATTTTTTTAATCAATTTCGAACCGAGGGTGATATATGACACCTCCAGATTTGTCCCAAATTATTTTTTTTTAATGTTACATTGTTAGATATGTTTGTGATAGACAAAAATCTTATTTTTGATCCTCAATAAGGTCCGCTTTTTTCAGGGGGTCCTCGAAAATCGGGGTCTAAAGGGGCCTAATTGACAAAGTAACCAAAATTCGTTTTTTAAATGCCAATATTTCTGTGTGCCATAAGTCAGCCACAAAGATTTTCATTTGTGGGACTCTATGGGGCAATGATTTTCCAAAAATGCAAAAACTTAAGTGTGATAAAGCCCATAGGTGGTGCTCTAAATCACTAATTTCATAATTGCCCACCCTTATCCAGGGGGGTCCTGTGGCTTGTGCCCTAAGTCAGCCAAGGTGTTTTATGTGTTATGATAGATTAGCACCACTACTTTTGATTTGGACAAAAATTACCGTGGCTGAGTTAGAGCGCACAAGTATAGAGAGTGCTTTTGCCACTTAATACTGAAAATTATCCTCTTTTCACAGAGTAATTTCTCCGCGCGCCCTAAGTCAAACATGGTGAAATATGGTTCATTTTGTCTCTCTGCATCTGTAGTATTAGTGATGAGCCCTATCTAATACCAATCTACATTCCAATTGTCACACAAATCAAGCCAAATCTGGTGATATGGAATAATGGCCTAGCTTTTAAACACTGACACTTAATTATTATCAGTTGAGTTGAAGCACAGGCCCTTGGAGGCTCAAGTTTCAAGTTTCAAGAAGAGTAAAAGAGCGAACTGCTTCGCTCTTTTACTCTTTTTGAAACTTGAAACTTGAGCCTCCAAGCTGGCCTGTGGTTGAAGCAGCGAATTTAGTATTCTTACAATCAACTCAGCCAAAGCCTAGTTTAGCACCCTGGATTAGTTTAGCACACATGCGAAAATATATGTGCAAGGTCCCAAACTATCCTTGATCCATCAACTCAACTCAGCTCAACAATCAACTCTCAGTCTCAACAATCTCTTCAACTCAGAAAAACACCACACACGTTAATTATCGTATAAACTAATAAAGTATAAACTATAACTATAAAGTACACAAAATTGTGATGTGCTGTTTCATTTTGGATGTCAGTTTTTTTAATCATTATTTATTCCAATACTAAAAATAAAACCAATAAAACAATGTGACAATTTGGCACTATTAGTATTACTAATAGTAATACTATTTGTATTACTATTAGTACGTAATAGTACTAATACTAGAAGTAGAAGTATTACTATTAGTATATGAGTACTATTGCGTGGTAATTTAGATTAGCTTAGACTAGATACAATAATGTATAACCCAACAAGGACTCAAGAGTAGGGTATTACTATTAGTAGGCATGATAGTTGATACTACTAGTAGTAGTAGAAGTAGTACTCTTGTTGGGTTACATTAATCATTATACTACTACTAGTACTACTAGTACTAGTACTACTACTAGTAGTAGTACTACTATTAATACGTACTAATTAATTGCACATAAACTAGAATATAAAAAATCAAGACATAATAAAGCATAACATTTCACATCACATATCGGCTACCACTATTCACTAACATTAGTTTTTTCCCACTATCAAAACAGCACTGACGGAAAGTGCCCAGCACTGCAGCAGTATTCACGATTTCAGAATCGAATCGACACAGCTATGGAATTTGATCATCTTCGGACAGCCACAAACGTTCAAAGAAAAAGACAAACAAAATACTACGCACTTGCCTATATTCACAATTACATAAAGACAGAGAGTCAACCTACTTATTAGTCGGTGTATTTTCTTTAATTGTAAGTCAGGCGTGGAGAAATACCGATGAATTTCTGAGCTTTCCCAGAAAACTCCACAAAATGTCTGACAATGTCTGAAAATTGCACGTTCACATGTCGAACCTAGTTTCGCGTAATCTCGCGCGTTTACAAGTTGCAACATGGCAGCGTCCGGAGAGTGGTTTACGTCCACGACATCACCTCAAAATGTATGATATCAATCATATATCCTTGGTTTCGAAAGGTTACATATTTTACACGAAAATAGAAATAAAATCACATTATATATACTACTATCGATTTTCGATTGATTATTTGGATTGTCGTCGTTGCAACAGACACTTGTGAGTTGTGAGTTGTGAAGTTGTGTGTGTCTCGGTCAGACTCACTGTACTGCCACTGCCACTGGTAGTAGTACATATAAGCCGCGTTCACACGGAGCGAAGGAACTCGTGTCAAATGCGTCCCGGGACGAGCGTTCACACGGACGTTTTCTCGGTACGAAAACGACTCGGGTCGTTTCGACCCGAGTCCTGGTTCATTTTTGCCGTGTGAACGCGCGACTCGGGTTGGAATTAGAACGAGAACGAAAGTAAACAGAATAGTTGGAAGTCAGTCGGAAGAGTTTGATTGTTTAATCGCAGTGGCTGGAGGTACGCAGCCGTCGTCGTCTCAGCCCTTTTTTGCGTTAGGGTTAGGGCTTAGGAATTTAGGGTGTAGGTTTAGGGATTATGGTTAGCGGTTAGGTTTAGGGTTAGGGTTTAGGCGTTCTTGCATCATCTAAAACTCTACAAATCGTGAATTTATTTCCAGGCGTTATTTCGAAATCGGGCGGGACCGCCAGCCATCTTTGTCTCCGTTAGTATGAAAAGCAATGGACTGGCGTACCCGTTAGCCTCGAGACATTAAGATTACGTGCTGGCGTACCGTTACGCCACTGCCTGTTTAATTTCGCCCTTGTCGCTTGGACGCATTGTATTTATTTTTTCTCGAGGTCACAGCTCGCATCTATAGCGTCGTCGGTGAACGCTCTCTTCAACGACGTCCGTGTCGTTTGCGACACGGGTCGTTTGTCGACTCCGAGTTCCTTCGCTCCGTATGTGAACGCGCTGTCAGTGATTACTACAGCTACAGGCACTTTGCGGCGTTCAATAAAATAAACTTGCGCTAAATAAAATACGAAATCTCTTTTACTACCAAAAGTCTTAATGTTGCTATACTCTCTCTTCATATTATGCCGACAATTTTCAGCTAAATCTGTCCGAAATGCCTCATCTGACCAACAAACGCTGGCTGCGAGCCTGCACACTGACACTGAGAGAGGATCTATGTCACTCTTGGGTAATGCCAGAAGGTCACCCTGGCGTCGCCGGTCCGGGTATACCGGAACGTACTGGCTTCACTATCAATATACCAGCGACCGCTACCTCGACTATTGCCACTTAACGAGTCTAGGCATGCTGTTGTAGTCGAGTCCGCACCCCCGAGTCCCGAGTTCCAGTCGTACCCCGAGTCCGAGTCCGATCCGACGAGTACCGCGCCAGCCGAGTCGAGTCCACCAACACTCCGGTCTGAGGTCGAGTTCCGAGTCCAGTTTTTGATAAAAAAACGGGGGGATAGACCGACAAGGCACTCATTTCTACTGTGATGTGTTTTTGTTCCAAAAAATGGGCGGGGCGGTGTTCTGTCCCCTGATCTGTCAGTTGTTTTCATAAAAAATAGAAAAGTCAGCCATAACCAACTGCACGTATGTCGACACTTTTTGGAACCAGGCATATTCATCGTGCTGACTTAGGAAATAAAGACTCTACGCGTAAGTCATCATTTGTCGATTTATACAATGTATGTAATGCGCGTAACACACTGTACTCGCTCTCCTTCGCGATTCGCTACAGATGACGTACAGTCAATCATAAACAAGCAACAGTTTGATGACAAATTTAACTTAACAAACGAAAATATGCAGAATTGAAAGTCATGCAGTACAGGTCATGATTGTACTAGGTAAGTATGTATAAATGCTTATAATGTCATATGCTGCATAACCAACAGAGTGGTAGCAGGTCATATAGTAGCTACACCTTCTAGTACTCGCACAATAGGTTTCTGAACATCATTCACACCTTTCTGCCTTATAATTCACTTTGTATTACAAAATGCACAATTTTCACAATGCTCAGTCGCAAGCGAAACTGAATCTTTATTACGTGGGCTTTCACGGGTGCTCTTAAAGGTAAAACATACTGTCCAGTGTCTAGCCCAGTAAACCAGCGTGCAACCCAGCGGTGCCGACTGAAAGGTTAATTGGCTAGATGAGTTCGCGCGCGCACTGTTATGTCGCAGAGCGTGTATCATTGATCTAGCCAGAGGTCAGGCCGGCATAGGCGAGAATACCAGTCTACCTTCCGGCAAAACAACGTAGGCTTGCTTGCACGCCGCAGGTAGACGAAATTGATTTAACGCGCGTCTGTGTACCATGCTATTATGCCCGTGCGAGTAGATACGAATGCCATGCGCAGTGAACTCGGCCACGCGCGATTTAAAGCGCGCAAAACGCATCTTACTGACTAACTATGTATGTAGTTCGGCCTCGAGCCGTCTCAATTCGAGTCCTCGAAGTCTGGACGGGCTCAGAGTCCGAGTCCGAAGGCTCCGAGGTCATGCCACTCGAGGCGAGACCGAGCCGAGAGACCAAGGAAAACCGGTCTTCGAGACAGGTCTCGGGCTAAGACCGGTCTCGAAAACCTGACAACACTGGAAGGTCTAGGGTCGCGTACGCCTACTCCCTAACCCTAACTCTGAACCCTAACCCTAACCCCATCCCTAACCCTAAACCACTAATCGCTAATTCTAACCATTAATCAAATAGTGTACCGAGCGTAACGTTTACCGTATACCGGACGTACCAGGAATACGTTCCGGCAGTACCTGGGGACATGAGGACCTATGACACACTGACACATAAATATATAGCAAATAGGAAAAGCGTGCTGCCAAAATTCGCTGACGCTCGCTTGCATTTCAATACGATACAACACCAAATATTTAACCATTTATCATCTTTGTTTCTATTTGAAGAACAGTGTATCACTTTGGTTAATAAAAAATTCTCTGTCTGATGTTTCGTAACCGAGCTGTGTCACGCGAAATCACACAAAGCCTGACGAAATTCTCCCGTTGCGCAGTATATGTAAATGGCTGCAAGTACAGGGCTATAGGCGGCGCACTGCATTTTGGGAAACAATTAACCACGCTGCTTTCCAACTCACGTACGAGCCTCGTCATGGCCGCCAGTGGAGCGTTGCAAAAACGCTGCAGCGTTGCGGCGCAAAAATGAGGTCACTAAGAGCGCCAGTGGGCGTTTCCTGATTCCGACAGCCATTTACATAAACTGCGCAACGGGAGCGAACGCGAGAATTTCGTCACACTTTGTGTGATTTTAGGAACTAGAGTTTATTTTGCCATAAGGTAGTGTGATTAGGCATGACACGAAGTATTTGCTAGTCTAGTACTGGAGAAATTAGCGTTTAGATGCACATAGTGCGGCTTTAAGACTTTGGTAGTAAATAGATTTCGTATTTATTTAGCATTATATTTTGTTGAAATGCTCCAAGTACCTGTGCACAGTACAGTGTACTGTCTGTCTGAACAAACAAACACTGAAACAGGGTTTAGCAGTTTGCTGCCTACAAGGGTTAGTTTGCTGCCTGCTCTCAATATGGGCAGCAAATATGTGCTGCCAAATAATTCCCAACAAACCAAAGTAAAAAAAGCACCAATGGCAATGTCAATGAGTATTTCTATTAAAAATGATGACTAGCACCTAGTTGCAGAGACTCCAACCCTAAGCATTACCTAAACTGGAGATTCTCCAGCCTGGACCCCTTGGCAAACTGGAGACCACACTCTGAGCGCGCGGATCGCGGAAGCAATTTTTTATACATTTGTTTGTTTCATTTTATTAAAGAAACTAAAGTGAAAAGGCATCTGTAGATATTGCAGACCTTAATTCTGTCACTTTATTTCTTTTGGTCAAACTGAAGTGTGTTATGGGTTGTACTTCCTCGTTGCTGGCTTTGCTGTAGCTACCAAGCATTTTGAAGGCCTGAATTAGCCATTTTTTGTTAAATAGTTATTACACTTCTTTTTTTTATTTGGGCGGGAGAAAACAAAACTTAAGCGGCAAAACGGGAGATTTTGGGAAAATGGCCCCAAAACGGGAATTCTCCCGCCCAAAATGGGAGAGTTGCAGTACGTCTCTGTAGTTGTGATGACGATCGTACTGTTGGGGCGGGGAGTGGACCTGGTGTGTGCGTGTGTGTGTACATAGATATGTACATGCACATGTATTTATGAATGGATGGATAGATGGGTGGATTTGTGGGTTGGAGGATTCGTGTATAGGTAGAGTGGATGGTTGTTTAAATGAATAGATAGTTATAGAATAGGCAGTGGCTGGAAGTATGGCAGCCGTATCTCTAATTTACGAGGCTGGAGGTACGACAGTCCATTCGCTTTCATACTTAACGAGACAAAGATGGCGGCAGATTTTGAAATAACGTCTTGGGAAATAAATTCACGATTTGAGAGTTTTGATGAGTAAGAAACACTCGGATTAGGTATGAAAATGAACATTATTGTAAACTTTACATCAGAAGATTGCAAATAATTGCCTCCGCCCTCAAACAAATGCCAAAAAGGGGCTTCAACGAACGACAGCTGCCGTACTTCCAGCCACTCCGTATAGGATACATGGGCATGTGTTCAGCCAGTGAAAGTAGCTGTAGAGTCAGTTGTCCAATCAGTTTTTGAAGTGGATGACTAGCTTAAATTTCTTCTGTCATCATTTCTACATTATCCTGTAGATATGTATATTCATGCTTCAAGTAGTAGGCAGAGCACTGTGTTACTTGGCATAGCGCGCCGCTGGCCACTGTTTTACTTATGTCCTTTATATCTACAGGCAAATGATTCGGCTGTTGTTGACCTCGAAAATGGTGAAGATCTTTCAGACTACGAAGTAAATTTTGGAGGTATGTGTATATTTTAGTTGAAATTATATTTCGTCTTTGTAGCAGAAAAAATAATTAACCACTACTTCTAGTCTTTGAAATAAGTCTGAAACCCCAGCCAGTCAGAGTTAAAAAAATACAACAGGCAACTAAACAGGAGCAGGCTTTACTTGTACTCTCACGAGTTCGTGACAATGCTTTAAGCTTTATGCTGTAATACAGGTCAAGCTGATGAGTCTAAGTGAGTCCCCGAGTATCTCCCTCAGGTTTCGAATCTTACATTTCTTTATAGTAGAGGTTTTCCTGCTTGTAACTTTTCTATCTTGTCATTGTTAGTCATTCATCAATGTTCTCCTATCTTGATTTATCTATCACCCCTATATCCTCTGGCAACTTTTAGCGTAACTATCCCATATTATGAAGATCGCTAAATCACTATGTCACATACTAATCGTCCTATTGTTGCTGATAATTTTTTAATGTTCTCTTCTTTCAATTTGTTTATTATGGTAATTACCCCTATATCCTCTAGCCCACCTGTTATTCTATGTATAGTGATTGTCAGCGCCTTTATCACACAACGTACATTTATATATATAATATATATACAAGATTCTCCCCAGGAATTTCAGAAGACATGTCGTTTATGAACGGATAGGGGAGGGCATGGTAGGGCCATCCTTAAAAATTATATGTTTGCTGTCCTCCGACCGACCCACGAAAATAGCCGCGACCCAAAAGTTTTTTTTTACATTTTGGGTTCCATATTTTTTTAATTTTTTTTTTACATTTTTTATAGTTAAGACTGAAACACAAAGCATGTGTGGCAAACATGAGGACAGACTTAAAATAACTATTATGCCTCACACAAAAAAATGACCTACCTACTTACCCACTAAAAAAATCATGGGTCGGGGGACAGCAAACATAGAATTTTTTAAGGATGGCCTAGGGGTTGTACCTATTGGAATCAGTTACGCATGCCATCAGCAGCCCCAACACACAGGTTCACTCTATCAGTTGAAAGACTTACACATCAAGGTGTGAAAACAGCATCACCATAATGGCGTTGTCAGAAGTGAACACAACACAGCTAGAAATCTAGGCGTGTTGATTAGGGATTTTGGAGGATTTGTGGGATATCGTGAATTAGCTTCAGCTTTGAAGATATGTCAGACCCAGACACGACCTATACCTGGAAATAAGCTTGTGTATATATATATGTGTGTATATATTATAATATATATATATATATATATATATATAATATATATATATATATATAAGAAGTTCAGCTTTCCAAATGCAAGAAAGAAATACACAGAAAATATTTAAGTGACAACAACTGGAGACCTTATTATGCACAAGTGCATAATAATGTCTCCAGTTGTTGTCAATTCAATATTTTCGATCTCTCTCTATATATATGTTTAATTTTGCTGTTTCAGCTGTATTGCTTTATTTGTATTGCTTTAGCACTCATAGTTTTCTTTTTCACAACTTTCAACTTTTTTTCTATATCAGAAAGTGGTTCGGCTCACCAGTTTTCTCAGGATAAACAGAAGTCACAATTCTCACAGGGCGAACCAGAGAATGCTCAAACACATTTCAGAGAAAATGTCACTGCATTTGTGAGTAGTAGACAGTGGATAAAATTGCATATACAGTATTTTAAGGCAGAGAGTAAAAAAATAAATACCATTGAAAACTAAATCTGTTAAAATACAAAAAAAATTTTAACATGCTGGTATATTTTTAGGTTGCAACGTGTAATGGTGAATATAGTGAGTTACAGGGCGTAGTAACCTACGTAATTACAAATGGCTTGTATGTACTCTTAGATGAATTGTCATGGTGCTATTATCTAGATGTGGCAAACAGGCAAGCAGCAGGCAGAAAAGGCCTGGAGCTTGTATGGAAACATTGATATTCTCCGACCCTACTTTGATGTCGAACCGTTTGAAGTAAGAGACCGGTGGGTATAATTTTCAACACATCTCCAATAATTGCCATTATGCTTAAACAGTAATCTTTCTTGAAAATTGACATGTCAATTCTGTGTGTGCATATATTAACCATGTTTTTTTTATCTGAGTTTAGAGAGAATAGTCTAAAGAAGCTTATTACTAATTCTATCCATGTTTATGTGCTATCTGTGTGTGGTAGTATCAAAGAAATTTGCATTTTAGTCAGCATTCAATATTTTTATGAAGGTTAAAGAAAGTTGATGTAGGTTTAGGACACATTTTCAGTTATATCTGGTCTATATTATGCAATACAAATCATACATACAAAATATTGTGAATCAGCAGTATTCAACAGCAATTCTTTAACATTTTAGAAACTCTCTATGATTTTTATGGTTTGCAATGCCGGTGGTACCATTATTTGTCCTACCCTGGCAAACTTGTGCCAATCCAGTTTTCAGCCACATGCAACAGAATATGAGCATTTATTATTTATTAATATGTGATGTATATTATATTTGACTATTAATTTCAATTAAATTATGCATTAATTTATCTAAAACATGAAGTGACTCAGATAAATAGTAGGTTTGTATAAATACAATGGCGTGTTTGTAATAAGCTCCCACTGTAAAACGAAATTCTTCATCAGGATCAAAACAAGTGATACAGTACGTGTCATATGGCAGCAGCCACTTTATTTATCTTTGATGTCAAATAATATAAATATTTAAGCATGTACGATATTAATGCAACCAGTAGTGTAATATTCTTCTCCAATTCTAGACCTGTACCCAACTCGCTGAGAGGGTCTATGTCCCCCAGGGTACTGCCGGAACGTACCCTGGTACCAGAGCATATAAATCAACGTGATTTATATGCTCTGCTGGTACCATCTAATATGCCGGACCGTACCTTGCCTACTCCACTAACGAGTCTAGTGAGTCGCCTATGCCTACTCTCTAACCCTAACCATATCAGATAGTTACCAGGGTACGTTCTGGCAGTACCCTGGGGGACATAGACCCTATGAGCCCAACTTTCAGCTGTGTGACATAGGGACATTGCATGAAACATGCGTTCTGGCACCTATGGTTTAATGATATTTCAATGAGTTATGAGCTAGTATTCATTACTTGTAATTTTTCATTTAGGTTACTGCATTCATTGATTCCCAAAAGACCAAGAGAAGGTCCAATGACAACTCCAGGAGAACTTTATGGGCCACTGATGGTGGTGTTTAGTCTTATTGCACTTCTGCTGTATGGAATGAAATCTTCTGGCCACACCGTGGTAAGATAACCCCTGGTTAGAATGTAAATTCTGCATAATAAAACTTGCACAATACAATTTCTGCACATTGCTAATGCCAGTTGTCAATTTCTTTTGAGACATAAAATGAAACCTGTACATCAGTATCATTCTGTGGAAACTTGAAAAATGTCCTTTATAGACAAGTGTCCATTCAGTAAAGTTGGTTTTATTGTATAACTCCTACTCAATAGAAATGTCAATAATGTTCTTTGTAGTGGGTGTACGTTTTATAACGATGACTACTAATGTAGGTTTGTCTGTGTCTTCATTTGTACTTGCAGCAAGATGGCACTCTCATGGGCACAGCATTTGCAGTATGCTTCGGTTACTGGCTAGGAGGCGGTTGCTTTGCCTATTTCATTGCATACCTCAGCAATACACGCATGAGTTTATTGCAAATGCTTTCAATGATGGTGAGTTTCACATTGTTCTGTTGTTATGTAATCTGTGCCGAGTAGACGTAACCATATTAATGAAGTTATTGCTTTTGTCAAGCAGGTCATTACGGCTGTGAATATGCCAAAAAATTAAAAATTAATAGTTACTTACGTAAATATAAATTGGTTGGTCACTTTGAGAGTTGTTTTGAATTTTTTATGAATAATTTCTTCCAGGGCTATGCACTATTTGGGCATTGCATTGTGACATTCTTAGGAACTGTGCTTCACACTGATGCACACCTCTTGTTCTATGTGCTGTGGGGTGTACTTGGTGGCTTATCCGCTCTGAAAATGGTAGGTGTTTTCATTATAATTTTAATTAATCAATTGAAAAAACATCGTTCTCATATGCACTCCCCCGTGTGCACTAGTTTTTAGAATGTAACCACACACATAACAGGTTATTTCGGACTGTACCTTTATTCGTATTAGATAGACGCATTATTTCATTAGGAAGCGATATTCTATATTCCAATAATATCATATTTGCTCATGGGATGGCAGCACTGTGCAATGTGATAAGTGTTTTTTGGTGTTTTGTGTGTGCTTACGTACACGCGCGTGCCCGGATGGCGGGTGAGTGGCAAGGGACAGAGAGAGAGAAGGGGAAGGATAGAGGAGGGACGATGGCATTACACGGTATAACAAGAAATTCTGCAGCAGTTTGCCCTACTGTCTAGAACATGGGAAATTTGGTTCTTCGGACTTTTTCTTTGAAAAAACGCTCCAGGATAGCAGGGTGTCCACCCACAACAACGCCTCCACCAAACGGCCTATATCTATCTATCCCTCTATCTATCTATATATCTATCTATCTATTTATCTATCTATATATCTATCTATCTATTT